TTTTTTTTTTTTTTTTCGGTCTTTAACAAATGCATAGAGATACCTTTGTGATCTTAACGTAGTAGTCCATCACTATTCCATGCTTCAGGAACATTATTCACTTGTTCAACAACATTTTATTCAAGTCTTCAGAAAGCACTTCAGGCTTCATTTATTCATGTAAGATGCTTTATTTACTATATTGCTGTATAATTCTATGGGAAGAAGAGGAGATGGAGGAAAGTTTATAAAAAATGGTGGGGAAAGTAACACCAAAGTGTGATTGGAGAATCATGGAATTGCTAAGGTAGGAAAAGACCTCTAGTATTGAGCTGAGCTGCTAACCTACCACTCCTAAGGTCAATGTGTCCCAAAGTGCCACATCCACATGTATTTTCAGTCTTCCAGGGATGGTGGTTCTACCACTTCCCTTGGCAAAGCCTGTCCACCCTTTCAGTGAAGAAATTTTTCCTAATATCCAATCTAAACCTCTCCTGGTACAATTTTAGCTATTTTCTCTCACCCTGTCCCTTATAACCTGGGAGAAGGGGCCAACACCCACCTCACCTCAACCTCCTGTCAGGGAGTTAGTTTTAGAGAGCGAGAAGGTCCCCGTCTTCCCCCAAGCCTCCTTTTCTCCTGGCTGATATGATGTGTGCATCTCTTTTCCCTTTCTTCAATACAGGTTGAAACTCACCCCAAGCCCATCCTCCCGGGTGACAGTTTCCCGGGCTTCATCGAGCCGCAGTGTCCGAACAGCCGGGGGGAAAAGGAAGAGGATTGATGTGGAGGAGTCTGAAGCAAGCAGTAGTGTTACCATTTCCCACTCAGCTTCTGCCACTGGGAATGTGTCCATTGAGGAGATAGATGTTGATGGAAAATTCATCCGTTTGAAGAACACCTCTGACCAGGTTGGAAAATGCACATTTATCACGAGTGGAGGTGGAAGGGCATCCTCAGCACCCTTTCAGCTCTTGGGCTTCATCTTGATTTACTGGCACTAAGGAGTTAGTGTGTCTCAAAATAAGATTTCACTCAGTATTCTGGACTGATGATGACTTCTTCCCAATGATTTAAAATGCTTTTGTTTTATTGCTAAGTTGCCCACCTACCAGAGTGTTACATCGGTCCTCAGAGTTCTGGCTTGCAGGTGGTCTGCCTGTAAATATTTACAGACAGCACTGTTACTGACAGGAAATACTTCAATCAGACATCAGGCTGCTTTAGAAGCCTTTTAGGCATTTTTTCTGCCTTAAAAAGCCCCTAAAGAAATGCATACAAATGCAAAAGAAATTAATTGCCTATGTCCTTTGTATCTGCATATAGCTTTTCTGATTTGCAGTTTTCTTTCTTCCTTGGCTGTATCCACAGTTTTTAGGAGCCCTCAGTTCCCATGCCAAAACCACCTCAGTTATAGTGACTACTGAGATTATTTGATTTTGTGAATAGGTTGGAGTTTGTATTGGGGGATTACACATATCCACTCAAATGAAAGAACCCTTTGGTAAATAAGGATCACTACTTTTCCTTATGTTGCCCTCAAAACGATTCTGTTACATTCGTATATTTTCCCCTTTGCCTCTCTGCAGTTACTTGTAATTTCTGCCCCCCTGCCATCATCTCCTTCCTAGGGTCTTGGCTGAGAGTGATGACTTCATTTGGTAAATGCAAGAAAACCTTGACAACTGGGTCTAGACAGTTTAGTGTTTGTGATTCAATTCAGGCAAGTCAAAAACTACTTCCAGTGAATCAAAACCTGCATTTTTTTCCTGACTTAGACTGAGCTTGTATTCCCTCCCTGCCACATACACACACTTGTTTACCACACAGATTTCTTCCCCCATTTTTTATTTAACAACACATTTTCTGTTTCAGTAAAGGACTGCCAGTTTTGTTACCAGTGGTTCATGATTTTAGCACTTTCCCAGGGGTCTAGCAACTACCTGTGGTGCAGTGTAACAAGCTGTGCTTGGGAAATCCTCACAAGTGTTTGACAGTTTATACACCTTTTCTCTATTTATATATATATATATAAATTCCTGTAAGTAGGGTATATTTTGTTGCAATGACCAGCTGAATGTTAACATCCATAAAGATGAATAAGTTTATTTTAGATGATCTTAAACTGGAGTCCAGTGGCAACTGTCAAATGATCAGAAACTCTCTTTTGGTGGGAGAATAAAAAAAATACCTACTCTTGTTTTGAAGTAGTCAAGAAGTCTCTAATAATGACTTAGATATGGTTTGCTATTGCTCTTCAAATAGTTGATAGGAAAAAAATAATTGAAAAAATTGCAATGGGTCTTGGAATGGACTATATGGTGGCAGGTGTTTATATGTGAAAACATTTTAAGAATACTAAGAGGAATATTTTTTTTCTAAAAAGCCTGCTTGACATTCTGTGCTTAAAAAGTGTATTCTGTATTTTTAGAGGGATTTTAATATTGAATGGCTGTTATATTAATTTGTATTTTTCTAGCCAAAGTGATAACAAAACTGATGCAAATCATAAACATTAGTTAATATAACATCAGAACTGAAAAGCGGGAGGTATTAAGCTTTAGCTTCAAATGACAGGTAAGATAAATTTGAGTAAAATTATTCTAATTTCATGCTGAAGATAATAAACATTTTACTGGAAATTTTATGTGTCACAGCCTTAGAGATAAACCACCCTACATGCAAAAATGAATGCCAATGGAATATTTGGGGGTTTTTGTCTCTTTTCTTAGGATCAACCTATGGGAGGCTGGGAGATGATCCAAAAAATTGGAGACACTTCTGCTACTTACAGATATACCTCAAGATATGTACTAAAGGCAGGCCAAACTGTTACAGTAAGTTCTCAAGCTTCAGTTGCTCAGTTGAAATGGACTTCAGGCCAGCTTGTGTGTCAGTAAGACACAACTTTTGTGTACATGTTCAGAAAATAATCACCTGTATTTGTATTGTGCATTGGTTATGTCAATTGGTGAGACAATTGATACTGAGCCATGTTTTTCAGAAAATGGCTTTCTACCTGGAACAATAATTTTGACCATACAGAGGCACATTTACATATTGAAAAGTCTCTGCATTAAAAAACATGTGTTTTATTATAAGAAACTTCGGAAGTATGTAAGCAGATGCTTTTGCTTTCTTAACTGAAAGATTCACAAGTGTCACTTAAATGAAAATATATTAACTCGATAAATAACTTGGGACTAGCAAAAAACATTTGTGTGTGACTTCTGTTAACAGATCTGGGCTGCAAATGCTGGAGTCACTGCAAGCCCTCCCACTGACCTCATCTGGAAGAACCAGAATTCCTGGGGTACTGGTGAAGATGTGAAAGTTGTACTGAAGAATTCTCAGGGAGAGGTAAGGTCACCTAAGATGTGTTTAAACTTGTCTTTCTGTGGTGCCATCACCTACAAATAATACAAATACCAGGTGGAACCATTTTTAGGACTTCACAAAGGAATGCACTGGAGTGTTTAATAAAGTTTTCTCCTTTTGCTTTCCGGACAAGCACACTTTACCTCTGACTGTCTTAAACTGCAGTTTATTAAGTGTGTGTGTTTGTTTGTTTTTTCTCTATATTGAGTGCAAGCAGTAGAATTACTTGTTCAGATCCTGCCCTTATGCCAGGAGTTGGGCAGTGCCTTGGAATACACTTTGAGAAGAAAAGGTTTTAGTGAACTCCTCAGTGGTTTGGGTTTTTAAATTAGTTTTTCTTAAAACTCTTTATGAGGAATGGTACAGTGAAATTCACTGTAAGCAATGAGGAATTAATTCTAGTAAGATGAGATTTAAAGCTTTGGCTAAGACAGTTACTGTGACATACTACAATTGAAAGAATATTTAAATACATACGTGAAAGAAAGCAGATTTTGTAAGAACTTGATGAGTGTTTTGTTAGAAAAAGACCCTTTTCTAATCATGAAGAAATTTAAAATCAAAATGTTAGGAATGCTGTTTATGCACAGCTGTATCTAAAAAGTATGTAGACAAGTGAGTACAAGTAATTTTCCCAACAGCTGGCGCTTTCTCAAAGTCTAAGTAGATGAACACCAGATTGTGGAGGCGTCAAATCTTAAAATTCTGTTGCAGGAGGTTGCTCAAAGAAGCACTGTCTTCAAAACAACGGCACGTGAAGGGGAAGATGAGGAATTAGAAGGAGTTGAACCTCTGGAGGAAGAAGAAGAACTTTCCCACCAGCAGGTATCTTGTCTTGGGTTACCAAGGTTATTTAGGTTAAAAAAATGGAGATACAAGTCATGAAGTCTTAAAAAAATTCATAAAAATTATCATGTGTGGGTGGGGTTTTTTATTTTCGAGGTTTCTTTCAGCAGTAATTAATGAAAGCATGGAGCTGTACTATTGAAACCAGTGCAAAAATTTTACTTAATGTGTTCCTTTGGAGAGAAGATTTTTCTTAAAACAAGTTTGGAAAATGGGAAGATATGGGGATTTTTTTTTTTTCTTCCTTGAACTCTGTTCCTGGTAAGATTCCCCCCATGCCAGTTGTTTATGGTAAAGTTTGGCTTAAGCAGGTAGACCTAAATTTATGCAATGTTTTGAGAATTTAAAATCTCTTTGATAGAGAAGATTATGTTAGTGTCTTCTGTTTACATATTTTCTCTGATAGAGAAAACTGGAGATTTAAATACGCTATAAGAGAAAATGTCCATTGCATGCTGAAAAAAAAAAGGCAACTCTGAAGGGATGTGTATGTGTAAACATACAAAAAGCGACTGTGTTGAAAATCATATTTTTTGGCAACAATGAATTTTGTGCAATGTAAAATAGTCAGGTTTTTATTGCAGTTGTGCAGAAGTACTGAAGCACATCCACCTGCTTATGTGGTTTCTATGATTGTGTAGTTCTTCTGCAGTGTGTGTTTTAGTAGCTTTACTTAAGCAACATTTTAGAAAGGCTAGATTTCTTTAGATAAAAACTCTTAAGGCACTTGTATATGCTCCCTGCTATATTGACCACCTCTAAACTCAGTGATGCTTTTTGACTTGAGATCCAAATATGGCAATTATTTGTTTTTCTAATACCTGTCCTCCAACACCTCTCATAAGAAAGGGTATCTAACATTCTTTTACTTCCGGGGAATAACAGTTTGTATGGCTTTGCATATTGACCCTTGTTTATCGCATGCCAGGCTAATAATTTAGTATATTAAAAACATACAGTATATTATTTTGAGTAGCAAAACCTTTTACTGCTGGATTTTTTTTTTTTTTTTTTTTTTTAATCCAAGATGATTTTCTCTGTTCACCACAGGCAGAGCAAAGGGCATCCAGCAGAAACTGTCTGGTTATGTAACTGCCAGTCATCCAGGTTCCTCCAGTCAGAGTAATCCTTGCCTACAGAACAGAGCCTTCTCAGAAGCACAACATTATTTTCTGTCTGTGAATTTTGAAGCTGCGAGTTTGATGGCCTTAATTTCCTTTGCCACTGAAAAAAAGGAAGGTTTGTAGAAGTATCTTGACTTCCTCGCAGGATGTGAATTGTTGACTCTAAACAGATGTGCTGTTTGGAAATTACTGTTCCTGTCTCCCAGATTTATATGCCAGTCTCTTTTTATTGAAACCTTGCTGGAATAGAAATATTCCAGTGTGTTTTGGGGATCGATTTTATTAGATTACACCACTCTAGACTAGTCATTATTGACCTCTTCGTATTTAGGTGCTGTTGGGGATTGGTTTAGAGTGCTTATTCTGCAGGAGGATTCATGTTACACCTTGTAGTTGTGTTGTTAAGGTAGTGTTACCAGCTTAAATTTTCCCGTGTGTTTATTTAACAAATAGAAGGCTCTTTTAATATGGATTGCCTTACTTGTTTACAATTTTTAGGAATGAGACCAAGTCCCTAGGGGTTTTAGTCTACATTTGTATGGGAAACAGTTTAAATTTTGTCAATGTTGAAAGTTTTTTCTGTCCTTTTTACATTATTCTGATGTTAAAAAACTTTTAATAAAGTATCTCTGTTCAAGTTGCTGTTAAGTTTTTGGAATTTGTTTCTTCCTAGAACTGATATAAGTTGAATGACTCTTGAATACTTGAAACTGATAGGCTTTGAAGCAGAAGAAACATCCATGTGAACTGAACAGTGGCTTCTGAGTTACAAAGATTTCTTCTGAATAATGAGTAGCTTTACTTCAAATTTGGAAAATTAATTCTTTAGAACTCTTGCATAACTATCCATTCTCTGTTTTTGCTCACTGGTTAATTCTTACTGGACTGGATTTTATTATATCATACAAGCTGAGCAGGTTAAACAAGCATAACAGTAACATAAAGAAAAATTTGGAAGTACTGTAAATAGTTATCTTTGATATAGTCTGATGTATTTTTGAATGCATGGCCAGAATTTTTGAAGTTGATTGGACCTTTTGTCTAGAATTAGTCTCATAGCAAACTTGGATAAGTTCTCTTTTCTGGTGAAAAACATGGTGGCATTTCAACCACGTGCCAAGAGAAGTTGAAGGGGGTGATGGGCAAGGGTTATGTAGATGGATGAGCATTGGGTATCTAATTCTTAGGTCATGCTAGGAACCCTCCTGTATAATCAAATATTCTTGGTTATAGCTTTTGTAGAACCTGGTTTTTGTCACATGGATGATGAAAAGTGCTGGAACTCTCACCTGAACATGTAGATAGGAGCTGTTACTTGAAACTATTTTTTTTTTTTTTTTTTTTTACAAAGAGGTCTTTTACATGAATCCTGTTAATGCTGTGGTAAATCAGCACTCTTGCGATGGATGACTGGAAAAAATATGGATTTTGAAGACTTTTACTGTTACAAGGATTTCTGTTAACGAAGGGTGTTGGGAAACACAACTGTCTCTTCTGTGGAGTGTATGTGTTCACTCTTTAGAGTGAAACATCCTACCACAAGGTGGACATCTTGTTTTGGTTTTATTTTTACTACTTGAATAGCAGTACCGCCACAAAACTTCCTACACTGCCCTGCAAGTTCCAAAGCTTCTGAAAGCATTTGATGAGAACTGCTTCTGTTATCTTGGTTTCTCCCCATCCTCCCACACACTGAAGTCCATTTTGATGAGTGCAAGGTGGGGTGGACTGAAAAACACCATCTCCAAGCTTGTGTAGGGGTGTGTATTTCGTGCCCTTGTACGTGGCAAATGCCAGTTTTCAATGGCAATATTTTTTTTTTCCTCCTCTGTCACACAGTGTCTAAGATAGCACATGTTTCTGTTAGACTGCAAAGTGTATCTCCTCAGCTGCTGCGGTTACTGCCATAATTCTACCAACACAAGTGGATTTGGTAAAAGGTACCTGACCCCTGGAAAATGTGCTCCTTAGCTTATGTGCATTGTTATGTGAAATGTGTTCATGTTTTCTGGGAAAACATTTTAGTCAGAAAATGAGCCAGAGAAGAAGCAAACAATATCCTAATTAGCTCTGTAGTCACGTTCAACTTTTGATTAAAATTTTGGGAGACCTTTTTATTACTATCGTTAGAGTAATATGTAAATTTTATTTTTAGGTACATTCAGCCCTTTCTAGAGTTGGCAAAGATACAGATTATCCTGATCTGTTACACAGCTGACATAAGGTACAAATTCCATCATCCTGCACGTCAAAACTCTTCATAATGCTTGAAACAAACAAACAAAAACAAAACACAAACCAAACGGACAAAAACTAACAGAACAAACAAAACCCACACTTTCCAAGAAATGTATCTGCTCAAATACAATCCTTCCTGTGGAAAACAGATTAAGAATTTGTTCAGGAAACAAGTGATTTGTCCAGCAGTAGTAGTGTACAATGAACACTGTTCCAGCAAGGTAAAGCATTCCTAGCTGATCATCTTATCTGTACAGAAGTTTGATTTTTTTGGTCTGTTTCACAGCAAACCAGCAAACCTGTAAACTGCATTCTTTGAGTTTATAGCGGTCATTATAAAAACCTCAATGTAATCAAAATTAGTACAAATTAGTTCACAGTGTTGTTGACTGTCACTTTGTGCTAAAAATTGTCTTCTGACTTCTTTTTCCCTGCTGCATATACCTACATCATAATTGCCCAAGCAGACAGCAAAATACAAACAGAAAAATCAACATTACATTGTATGTAAATAATGTAAATACTTCTGTGTTCAGTAGATGCTAATTATTAATTTATAAATTAAGCCATGTCAGTGGTTGGTCTTAGTTTAGTTTCTTCATGAAAATTTGTCTTATCACTGTAATTTATAGTAAATACAGTAATATGGGGGTTCCTGGATTGAAAATGATGTTCATTATCTGTGAAACAGTGCCTTTTATATTCATGCTGCATTATAAGCAGTGTAGGTATTTCAAGTGGGAAAAAATATACTGCTGCTTGTGCAGAAAGGCCACGTGCTAACTGACTATGAAGTATTTTTCTCCAGGCAAAGAAAGCAAGTAGTTGTCCAAAAGTTTTGGAAAGCAAAGTCTTGTCCAAAACAGAGACTGGTGATTTTTTTTTTTTTAAATAAAGGGAATGGAGTCTGTGTATGATAGGTGTGAATGCTTATTTAGCCTTTCTGGTATATGATTGTTTACCTCGAAGAAATGCTGGGACGCTCATTTTTGATATTTGACTAGATCCATCACAGGGTTGTGGCAAAAGTTAGTTATTTTATCTCAGGTTTTGCTTAGTATGCATTCATTGTCCGAGTCCTTTGCTCCTCTCCTAGTTTCTCTTTAGTCGGTTTGCATAAAAACAGGACTTTGAGTGATTAATCCCAAAGAAAGGTTCAATTTGGGAATTAATAAAGGAAGGCACATTTCAGCTTATCTGATTGACTGATTGATAGGATTTTCCTGCAGTTAACAATTAACTCTTGAATGTGAATTTTCATAGCAAAGTTGTTTTGTATTTTTGTGAACAAAATTAAGGGCAAGCAAGTCTGACTTTTTTCCATAACATAAGTCATGGAATGATACTGTTAATTGGTTTTCTCTACAACTGCAGCATGTTGTTTTTGAAGGTCATGTGTTTTGTTCTTGCTCTTAAGGGCATGTTGTAGATAGAATTTCAGCACTGATTATGTATTTTGTAAAGTTTTATTGGGAAAGGATTTGGTATGCTTACAATAGAGTTCAAAGAAAACCACAATCAGCTTTATAATCTTTTGACACCAAAGAGTGGGAGAGAAATGTTTCGTAGCATTGCCACAAATAGGTGTAAGAGGTTAATCAGTAAAAGGTTTAAAAACTGAAAACAATTTAAGAACCTGAAGATTTTTTGAAAAGGCTGTCTTACGGGGAAATGCATGTGAAACTACATTTGAGTTGTGGAATAACAGAGTGGATTAGTGTGGTGTCATCATCAGTACAGCTCTGTTCAGTATCTTTATTGATCTGGTCAAGGGGGTCAAGAGTTCCCTCAGTAAATTCACAGACAACACCAACTTGGGTGGAAGTGTTGATCTGCTGGAGGGCAGGAAGGCGCTGCAGAGGGATCTGGACAGGCTGGATTGATGGGATGAGGCCAACTGTGTGAGGTACAACAAGGGGAAGTGTCAGGTCACAACCCCCTGCAGTGCCAGGCAAGGTTTAGACTGGATATTAGGAAAACATCATTCACTGAGAGGGTAGTCAGGCACTGGAATAGGCTGCCCAAGGAAGTGGTAGAATAATCATTCCTGGAAGTGTTCAAAAAACCTGTGTATGCAGCACTTGGGGACACGGTTTGTGGTGAACGTGGCAGTGTTGAGTCAGTGGGTTTTTTTCCAACCTGCATTGTGTGATTTTGCATTGTCTAGTAGTTTTTAAAGATACTTTTGAGTACCCCCAACCAGTATTTGGCAGTAAATAGGCAATACTCAATTCTGCTTGCTAGGCAAATGCTTGTTTAATTAACCAGTTCCGTGTTAAATGGAGGTTGGTCTCATAAAAAGTAACAAAGATATTAGAAAAGCTCAGTTATTTTTGTTTTACAGATAAAGCTTCTTTATCTGTTTTAGTGCATGTGCCTCCCCCAGTACCTATTCTCAATTTGTGATGGTATCCGCTGTATCAAAGGCCAGTTACACATTTTGGCTGCAAGTCCCTTTATGCATTGAGTTGTCACACTGCCCTGTGTGACTTCATACTGTGAAACTAGTGCACTGCTGTTTTTAATAAATGAAATGTAAATGTCAGTTTGGAGATCTCAGTGTGGCAGAACTATACAGTTGAGTAAAGAAAAAAATCACCACACCAAAACCTGAAGTACTTTTAATGCTGCTTGTGTTGTGACTTACTTCCAGCTGAACAGAAAGCTATGGAATTTCTAAGTCTTTATGTAATGGGATAGACTAGTCTTGGAGGGGAAAAGACTATGTAGAAGAATTAAAACTTCCTCACTTTGCATTGCACTCACCCCATTTATACTGAACCGTAATAGGTTGCTTTTTATCACCTGCAGTGTAAAATACTGATTTGAATACTGATGAAATATTGTTCCCTCTATATAACTTCTTACTTGGAAAGGGAATGTAAATGGCAAGGCCAGCTGCATGAGAAGTAGGCCTAAAGTTGCTGAGAAGCAAGCTGAGTGACATAAAAAAAAAAAAAAAAGACATAAAAATGTGGTCCCTTATCCTTTCATTTTTTAACTTATTTTTTGCTGAGCTCTTTAAGGATAGCATAACAAAGGTGTCATTGTACTGCCAGGAGCTTTGGTAGCTGTGGTTCCTGCTGCAGTTAATTTGGTCTTTCCCACCTATTCAGACAAAAATGAGTATTGCTGCTGCTGTAGGATATTTGCTGTAATGATCCAGTTTTACAGTGGTTACTAGAATTTTGGACTTGGGTGTGGCAACAACCTCAACTAGTGGAAGAAAAGGCAACTCTCATCTGGGAGATTCTTCTGTCTGTGAGTCTTTAGTTCAGAACAGAAGTGGGACTAATAAGTAATCCTTAAGAAAATACATGGGGCACTGCTGCTGTGAATTTACCAGCCACTTCTGCTGTACTTCTGCATCAAGCACAGAAACTAAATCAGTAATGCATTTGCTAAACTGGACCATACTTTTCCCTCTAGTTGTTGCAGCATGCCTTCTTCAAATAAAATAAGCTGTCTTTAAACAAAAAATAAAACTTGAAATATCACAGATGAGCTGGGCCAAGTCACTGTGGTGATCTGTGTGCCTATAACATGCAGCTTCCTTTGAATAATTGCTTTTCTAGTTGCCACTTAGTTCCACATCATCCTAAATTTTTGCTTCACAAAACAAACCCAACAATAGTACTTGCTAAGAGCAACACTTCTTTCATGGGCTAGCTTTCTGGGTCATCTCCCAAAGAAGCAAAAGCAGTAACAGTTCTGAAGAAAGCTTACCTTAAGCAAAAGTGTAGGCATTAAAACACTGTCTGACAGTGACCTCCCCCAGCTGGATCTTCTTTAGTAGGTTTTCTTTTAACCTGGAATTCTGCTAAAGTGCAAGTTCAGTCTTCTACCCACATAGTTAAGTTACCTTTTGGAAGAGGGCTTATAAAAAAAACCAAAAAGGCGCTACAGGTTTTAGGCTGTAACAGAGCATGTGATATCCATGTCTTCAGAGTCTTATATAGTTTTCTCTGGAAGAGGAGCAGTTATTCATGGCCAAATGTGACCAACTTCTGACCTTATTATGAGTATAGATCTTCAGGTTCATGATTTTTCTACATGTCTTGCTGTGAAAGTAGACTTATGTCAGAATGAGGCTATTATTGCTTTATATAGTTAGTTGATTTTTATATCCCCATGAAATTGACAGTTACAAAGAATATTGTTAAATAACATGCTTTCAGCTAGACTAGTCCACAGACAGAATAAAGAAAGTAACAGATTTGGCTTTGTATACTAAGCTTTTTTTCTCCCACAGATCACACACAACATCAAGTAAGTTCATGTAGGAAACACATGAAATATTGTGTAAACACACAATACCTTGAACTTTGAGCAACAAATTATTAGCCTTCCTGCTATGTCTACATTTCTGTTTTCAGTTCCTGCAGTTTGGAAAACAAAGCACATGATGGCATTGCCATCTCCACACATTTCTAAAAAATTAAAACAAAGGGAGTTTGTATCAAATTCTAGTTCTAGCAGCATTTGCTAGTAAAATTTTGTGCAATTATTTAAAATAAGTCTATCTACATAACTGTGTCTTCTGAGAGGAAGGAATTGTTGAAGAAATTTGGCATAAAACCAAGGGGAAATAGATGATGTCATCCAGGAATAAGGTCTAGTCTTTACACTCCGAATTCAGTTTGGTCACCATAGTAAGCTCTGTATTAATTTTTTTTAAAAGATGCCTTAGTCATTAGTGCTACCATGAGAGGTCTGCTAAATCTACCTGTAAAACTGAAAATTCTGCAGCTTTAAAATAATGATGCTTTTTAAGCAAGACAAGTTCCTGGCTCCTAAAACTTGTCTGAGGAATCTCATTCATTATGTATGCATAGTTTTTCTTGCAAAAGTAAGTCTTAGAGTTAAATTCAGCTTAGTGTAAATGCAGAGTGAATTGGTTGAGTTTGAATTCACTCCAGCAGAACGTGCACTTCAGTGAAGAACGAACGTGGTGCCTGATTTGTTGCTTCTGTATGCAAAAAGTACTTTTTTTTCCTGAGTGCTATGCACCATAATGCTTTTGATGAGAAGATTACTGCAATTTGTGTGATTTCTCTCTTTTGCACATGCAGAATTTATTACTGAAGAATTTTCCTACCAGACCTTCCCTGCCAAACAGAAAATATGGAAGATATTTTTCTAATCACTTTATAGCATTTAAATAATATGTCAATTTGTAGAACTCATTACAGACAAACTTTAATAATCCAAATATGGGTATAATAGACCTGCAGATAAAATCAAGTGAGGGAATGCTGTTGCTGTGCTTTTGGAAAGAGAATGCAATATTGGTTACTGTCTAGCTGCCTAAAGAAATAATACTGCAGGAACATGAAATTATAAAAACAAAGCACTTTTAAAACCAGGTTTGCATTGTTATTACCACAGTTTAATACTTTAAACAATAAAAGAAGTTTGCATCACTCGATGCTGCAAAATTTAACACAAGTCTGTAGAATTCATACACTACCTGCTAAATAAACAAGTTTGGTAGCATACAAATGCAGCATCCATGATTTGGATTGAAACAGTGGTTCAGTTCTTTGCAGAGAGTTTGTTAATGGGAATAACACACTCCTGGGCTCTGGGCAATGTCTGAGTTTAAGGAAAATATTCTTAGTGCTTGGCCCCTGTGCAGACCTGATGAAATCAAACAATTGTCTCTTTTGAGTTCCTTTTGAGGGACTGTAGGCCCAGCAGGGACTGCTGGTTGTGGAGGATGTGAGCAGACTTTGGGGTGAGCAGAATCACCCTCTGATTGGTTTGACGCCATTCGTTGTAGAGCTTGCAGTGATACCTGAAGGACACCTGAGGAGAGAAGAGAGACGGGTTCAGTCACTGTGCTCTTCCAAGGATTCATTGGGGCTTGAGGGGAAGTGCCTTTGGGCAGAACAAAAAATTGATAAGCAGCCCAATGGGCAAAAAGTGGTGAAAAGATGAGAACTACCCTGTAGGTGACTCATGTCCCAAGATGCCACAGTAGCAAAGGAAAGCAGCCTGTGCCTCACTTTCCGCTGTTGCCTACCTGTCCTTCCCCTTTTTTATAACTTGAAAAAATCAGACATCCTGCCTCTTTCTTTCCCAGCAACTAGAGTTGTTGACAGACACAGTGAGAATAAATTTGGGATGCTTTCATGCTGTGGTTTAAACTGACAAACAGTGCAATTGGATGGATGGTGAAGGCACATAAACTCTGTGCAGGGTTGTATGTTCTACCTTGTAACGCTTTATTGCTGAATGCATCAAAGTCAGGATTGCACAAAGGCAGCAAGATTGGTGTGAGCCATCTGACGACGTGTGTATCTCAATGTCTATTGTCTCTGAAGTTTTTTCATCAGCCAACCAATTTCAACCTTACTGGGGAAGAGTAATGCCTGACTGCTATGGATGACCAAGATAGCTTGTCCCCATGTTTTTAAAAGGCAGTTTACTACTTATTTTAGTGACAGCAAGGTGTCGCATCCTGCTTCTCTTTTCTGTGGCACCTTGTATATGAAACTACAAATCTATTGTAAAAAGACACTTTAGTATCAGCAGGAATCATATGGTGTATCGAGGAGGGTAAAAACACCCAAACATCTGCAAAAGTGGATGCCATGCAGAAGGCAGTGAATGCTCCAGGAGAGTGAAGCCACAGTTTAGGCTGAATTTTCAAGTGGCATCACATGAGATTCTTTGAGTAACGGCTGCATTGTTAAGCCAGGCTTTAACTGCTTAGTTATCACAAGATACTCTAGTTAATTTTGTCTACAGAGGGTTCTTGTCTGGGGGCAGTTTCCAAGTGATGTCAGCTACTGTTCAGCCGAGTCCCAGTTACTCACCCTAAATTGTTACATTGGATGAAAAACTCTTGAGATTCTGAAAAAAAAGACTAGATTTTCTTTGTTCCTTGACATGTTATGTCCTTTGTGATCTCTTCAGTAAGACAGCAAGGGGGGTGTCTACCTTTCTAACTTGGTCTAACCTTTGTTTTAAACCAGCACTGGAAGTTGGTTGTACTTGAAGTACAACTGGAGTTGTACTGGAAGGTAAAGGGTCACGTCCTGCTCTACACCAAGCTGCTACTTGATTTTAGAGGAATCAAGATGACCAGCATGCAAGAGAAAGTGGAGTGTGTCCCTGAATTCTTAGTTTAAATAGCAATTTCCTTTTAATGTCTGGAGCTTTCTTTTCAGGATTAGCAGGTGCTTTTGTTGGTGTGTGTACATGCAGTGATTAAATAAAGAGGAAAAGCAACAGCGGTTTTTTATGGGTAATCTGTCTGTTTTAGAGGAAGGGATAAACCATCTTCTTGGGTGCTAAAAATAGCATATCTCTTGTTCACTGCTCACTGGAGTAATTGTAGGTGTGTAAATAATATATATGCCAGCTTTTGCCTTAATAGAAATAAAATGAAGTTATAGTTTTCTTGATTTTCCCATGACCTAAAGGGGCATTATATCATGTTGTGTGTAATTAACCCCACAGCACCCAACACATTCCCTGCCATAACTAAGTAAGCAATACAGGGTTCTCCCATTTGCAAAAAATTACAATACAGGTTCTAGTAAAGAATTTTGATGGGATTAGCCTTCTAGTTTCAATCACTGAGTGATTCAGTGCCCTGAAGGGCTTCCTGCCTTGCCTTTCCCTGCTGCGTACACTGCTTCCTTAGCCCATGCAGCTCCTACTGCTCTGAATAATAGTTTAGAGTGGGATTACAACTGTCCACAGCTCAGTGGATATCAAAGATACTGTATTTTGATTAAATCAACCAAGGTATGCGTTTACATCAGGCTCACTATCACCTTGTTTTCCAAATGCCAGTAACACATTTCTCTCTATGCTTTTGAGGGGATAAAAGTAATAAAGTGAATAGAAGGCATTTTTGCCACTTCCACTGCAAAGGTAACAGACAGGGATTGGGATCAAAGTAGAGGTGCTGCAGTAGTCTTGATAAACAAAGTCTGATAAGTCCACGTGTCATGGTTAATTAAATCCAACTAAAAATTGCCTTGTACAACTTCTAACAATTTTGGTAGTGGTAAATTAAGTGTATTAGGTAAATGGGTCAGCATTTGGGTTTCTAAGACAGCCATACACAATGGAAATTTGAACCACCTTTGCTTGCATACCTGAAAGATATATCTACACACAGCACTGCAGGAAAAACAAGTGTGGCCTCACTGCTACAGTAAATGGTCTGTCACAGGGCAGTGTTGCAGCTTTACAGAAAAGCAGAAACAAATAAAAGAGAAACTCCACGAGGCTGAGGCAAAACTTAGCTTTCCATGTTGTTGATTGCTGCCTGCACTCCTCTATGGGTGAGACAAGGTTTCAATGTAACAAATGTGTAAATGAGACAATACCTCTGACAGCTTTTTTGGAGCTACCTGTGAGGCAGCGTGGGAGTTTTGTGTTCCATTATCTTCACTTTTCCAATCTTACTCAGGGCTTGGTTTCTTGCAGTTCTCAGAGTGCACCTCCTCAGAACCTTGCGCTGATCGAAAACTGCTGGAAGGGGTCAGCCTTGTAGTGTGCCTGTACCCACTGAGGGGGGAGGGCTGTGTGCTGGCCCTGTAGTAATAGTAGCCATAGACAGGATGGGCTTGCCCCCACTAAAGGCAAGGAGAAGCTTTTCCTGTCACAGACTGTCACAGTCACACTAGCAGTTCTGCGGATGCTCCCCATCTGCATCCTTCTTGCTCTTCCCCTTCCCACATCAGAGCTAGAGGTGTGAAATTTCAAACTCAACACTAACCCGGGGTTTTCAGTAAACTGCTAGACTATGGCTTGATAAACACTGATTTTGGCAGTTGTCCCCTCTGCTCCCTTCATTTCTGCTGGGCCAGTGCACTGGCCAGGAACTGATCTCAGTTTAACAACTTGACACAGATTAAGTGGCTCTTAGGATGGATTGGCATGCAAATGACTCACACTGGGTTGCAGGATGCAGTTTAATATGCACTGCAAAGGCAGCTGTGTTTTTACAGACCTTGGTGTAAGGTGTGTTTTGCTGTGGACTTCCCCCACCACTGCAAGCATGGGGAATGAGGAACGAGGAAAGCATGGGATGCACCCATATCCAATGCTTTTGAATTAAAAAGTTGGCCAGATGTTGCATTAGAATAAAAGTTGAATCCTCCCCAGCAGCCAAGTTGTTCACCTAAATCTTTTTTGTGCACTGTACCTTCATCTTTTCCACATTATTTTTGATGATACTCCCTCCCGTAGCGTCTATCTTGAACTCCTTCAAGTCACTTCCCTTCTCCCTCTTTCTATCCGCTTTAGTGCTTAGATTTCAGAATTCTGATCCCAAAACAAACTGCCTTTCTGGTTTTCCAGAGAACTTGAATGGTTCTTGAAAGGAGGTTTCTTCCAAATGCAATTCATATTTATCAGTATGGAGGGTAAATACTAGCAACATTTTGTGCAATGGCCCACACCCCCTACAGCACTCCCTAATTAATTTTCTCAATTGTTCTTTGTCTCATTCCTGTGAGTCAAATAAAAACCCCAATACTTACTAGGGTCCAAAAGAGGTAAATAGTGAAGAGTGCCACAGTGAGTGCAATGAGTCCAACAGCTTCTAGCCTACTACTAAAGTGCAGATGGTCCACTGCTCCTCGCAGACACAACCAGCCAGAGATGGTCGCCAGCGGGGTGATAAACAAGAAACACACCATGTCTCCAAAGAGAGTCCTCCTCTCGTGCTGGGGGCCTGGGTTCCTCAGCCACTGCAGGCAAAATGCAGACAAAGCAAGTGTCAGCGCAGGAGGAAGGATGTTTTACCCAGGGTGAGCTGCTTACTTGCAGGACGCACACCTGCCCCTTAGAGGAGGGAAGGTGGATGCCTGGGATGTGGCTTTGGCTGTCCCTGGAGAACTCCCGCCTCAACTTCTCCCCCTCTTCCTGCTGGTGTTCACCTCTATCCGTGCATTTCTACTGCATCATTTATTCAGATGTGGTAAAGGCTGCCTTGAGAAAAGGAAGTGTTTTGCACAGTGCAAATGCCAGGAGCCTTGGCATTTGGCTCCTGAGCTGCTTGAGAAACCCCTTCTTAATGAGTGATGATTCACATGTTTTCCTTACAACTTGAGTGAGTAGAAAATGTTTCATATTTTGTATGCTGTTTTAGGTTTGGGTTGGTTTTCGCGGCTTTGGGAGGGGCTACATGTTGGGGGGGGTTACATTTTTTGTGGTAATATTTGCAAAGCCATTTTCAACTTGCTTTCAGGTATCCATATGCAAGCAGAGTTGAATGCACAGAGTTTGGTCAAACCTGCTCAGCAGCATCCTTTTATGGGTTTTCCTTGTGCTAGCAGAACCAGATAAGGCTCATGCATCCTTAAACTCTTTGGTACTATCATGCCTCCCAACGTGTTACACATGGCAGTAGAAGTCCTGTCTCTTTAGCTCGAGAAACTGAGGCTGGGGAAGCAACTTCATCCCTTCACCAGCTAATACCCTAATTTCCATCCACCTTAGTTTTTTGGTTTTTTTATTCTTCCCTATTACAGTGCTGCATCAATGACTTGGAGGAGCAGAAGGACTTTAGAGTTTTGACAAGGCTAAGAGCAATGTGCGAGCTAATGATTACTTCTCATCCAGATATCCCACCTCTCTATTGTTTTCAGCCTGTGCTTCATCTTTGCCCAATTTCTCCACATCATGAAAACAAATACTGCATTTATCTCTCCATCTTCATATGGTGTAAATAAGGGTCAAGAAACTGACCAGGAACTAACCTGGCACCAGCAAAAAGACAAAAATCAGTAAACAAGTTTGTTTCAGCATCACCATCTCTTAGGATGAAATAATAAATAATCTACTTCACAGGATTTTGGGGGGGTTTAACTGCAACAGGCTAACTCAGCAGCCAAAGATCCACTCTCATGTGCAATTCAGGAATTCAGGAGAACACAAAAATATGGATCAGAAACATTTTTTTTTTCAGGATGCAGGCTTTTAATTTGCTTGAATACTTTTAAAATCCTAAGGAATTGAGAAGTGCTTCATAACTGCTCTGTACTACTATAAGCAAGAAGTTGTAATGGAAGATGCTAATTCAAGAGAGAGGCTCAATACTGTTTATTTTCCTTTCCTTAACCAGCTGTGGTGAATTCATCCCAATGAGCAACTAAGCACCCACACAGCCACTTGCTCACTCCTCCATCCCACCAGTATGGAGGGGAGAAAAGCAAGAGGCAGCAAGCAGAGCTTGTACAAAATAAGGAGACGTACATTTACATTTGAACAGCTTATTCTTTTACTGCAGTTTCTAGAGAATGCTATGAAGTCATACATAAAAGGCTTGCATCACTTTCTTTGGAACTTTCAATCAATTTACTTAAAAGCACCCCCCAAGGGTGCATGGCTAACAGATCTAGGTTATATTTGGTTGCTTCTAAACAGAACTGGTTGCAACTTCCCCTGTGTTCAATTTCTACAAGTCCCTGTAATATGAAACCACTAAGGAAATAAAAGGGACTGAAAGCACCTGAAAATCGAGATTCTGCTTAAATTTAAAGGTGACTGCAAAAAGGTTACTTGTTTAAAAGGTGTCCTGGAACAGAAATGCTGAGCACTCACACTTCTCCTCGATCTCAGTAGGAACTGCAGGTGTTCACCACTTTCCCAGGGCCGACTGAAATACCATTCTCTCCTTATCTCCCTGCCGTTGGTGACTGTACCCCTTAACTGAGTGATGAAGAACACACTGCAACAGTTGAGTCCACTCAGTGGAGCCAGCATCCTCAAATTGCAGTCTGTTGAGGTACTTTTGGCATCCATGAAGCTCAGATAGTGCAAGAAATAGGTCACAGGCCTGAGCAAGAATGCCGTGGGGGAGCATGCATATTAAAGCATAAGTTGTCCTCTCCACCCTGTGACTTGCACGAGGTGCAGTACACCGCATTTGAATTCAGACAGCATTTTTTGTGCCACCTTACTTGACTGAAAATTTGAGCAGACAAAAATAGTGTGAAGTTGCTTTCACAGGCTGATGGCTCCCTGCAATCTTTATGCCTTCTGATATACGAACAATGAGTCAAACCCAAGTAATTCAAGTATTAGATGAGGCAATGACAGGAGAGAGTAGTATTAAATAATAAATAAACCCATCACAATTCTACACCTTAAAAGCTGGAGGAATTTCATTAGCTAGTTCTGAAGTGGAAGTCAAATGCAAAGATTAGGTTATTTCAATGGCTGTATGGATTTCAGTCACAGCACATATTTTTCTCCTGAAGTGGTGCACAATTGTTTTTAAATCTGCTCCTGTTTAGACTTTAGGTTTCAGTCCTTTGTTTTGTAAATGTGCACTCTCAAGTTATTTTACAGCTAAAAAGCCAAGTCAGCAAATCCTTTAGTGAAACTGATACCCACAGAATGATTCCAACAAGACACTGAGCTGATTGATTAGTGCGGCAGTAGGGTAGGGACTACCTTGCTGGCAAAGACCAAGATGTAAGGCCAGGTAAAGCTGTCAGATCTGCACTATGACACTAAAATCTGTCCTATTAAAATGTGTCATCAATGTGCTCTATTATTTCTGCAATACATCAAGACTGTCACAGTAATAATATCCATTTGGAGGGGGGACACAAAAAGGAGATCATAAAAAGGGTCATGTTTGAAGTAAAATGTTGACCTACCCGGCAAAGCTCCATTTTATCAAGTGCTATCCAAAAGTGAACAGAAACCAGAGGAAAAGAGAACTGAAGAGGGATATTGGTGAAGTAAAAGTGCTACTTAAGCTAATGTACAATGTTGGCTTAAAAACAAATGGCTAATAGTTGGCCACAAATAAATTTAGGGTAAGGGTCAGAAAAATATTCCTATCCTTCAGAGGATGCAGCTCTGGAATAGCCTCTCAGGAGGAGCAGAGTAGGCTAGAACCCATAAAGCTGGCATAGTTATGAAAGGAATTGCTTACATTTTGAAAGGGATTTTTGATTTACTGCATTTGACTCGAGAAAACACGGTTAACACACCTGAGGTTCCCCCACCTCACACGCTGCCGTATGTAGACACATGCAAGGATTTATTGCATTTACTTCACAAAGCAGAGTTGAATTTGGAGTTTCCACACTTCCTTCAACTGAATGCAAATTCTAATGCTCAGAAACTTCATGTGGATTTGCAACAGTCCCTGAAAGACTCTTGATCTACAAGCCCACTAATGGCTTCCAAAATATTACCTAGTATTTAAGAGTGCACATGAAACCAGATCTATGAAACTGTCAAAAAGATGTTTATTTGACAATGCCAAATAATCTGAAACTCCTGAGATGAATGAATTAATAGGCTCAGTTTCCTTTTAACAGGTTTACTCCATCCTGCCTAAGCAAACATAACTAAAGACAGGAGAACTGCTCCTCTGAAAAGGGAAACAGGCTGAGGCATCAGCACAAGGTGCCAGCAAAGTGAAGAACTGGAGGAGGAAATCATTAGAACAAGCAGTAACTGAAGACCAGAACACACTGGAGAGGCATACATTCAGAATTTATACATCCTAACCAAAATCAGCTGCCAGCAGAAAACTGCTGTAAAACACCTTCAAAATTTTGAGCTACTTCACCATTGCCAAAGGGCAAATCCTGGAAGTGCTCATCTCTACAGGTCTAGCTTCAAGTAGGTGACTAATAAATGCTAAGTAAAGTATGTGCGTAGTGTTTTTCCCAGTTAGACGCTAAGGCTACACCCTGTTTCTACTGAAAAGCTCTTCTAGTTCACTATATTTTCTTAGAAAACTGATTTTAAAGAATTGCTGGAGTCACACCAGCAGCAGGTTATTTCAACAGTTATCATCAATGAAGCTGTGGGGAGAAGACAGGAAGGAGTTATCTACCCTAAATGTATTTTTCTTTGAACTAAATTTAACTTATGCACTTCAAATGTATCAGTTCATTTAGTCCTTTTCATGCTGATAGCTCTGCAGTAATCCTGGTGAGAGCAGCCTGAACACAATCAGAACCACTGGCAATTACTGTTTTTTCTGTTTTCATGGCAGCAGTGACTACCAACGTGAGCATTTTGCTCTGGGCTTTCAGCACAGAAATACTGATATTGCCTGGTTTTCAGAATTTTTCTCTTGAATGAAGAACATTTTAAAAGACCAGGATGACCATGTATTGCCTCTCCTCTCCCCCCAAAAAACCCCAAAATACCCCTGGCAAAAACAAAAACAAAAAACAAAAAACAAAACCCAAACAAAACCCACAAAAACAAAACACCTGAACAATTTTGTTCCAATACTTTTTTTTTTTTTACTGGAAAAATTCGTTTTAATATTTTTTAGGGAAAGGTCTTGAGGCCTGGCTTGACTACATGTAACTCAAAGCCTCCCAGACTAGAATGATATGTCCGTTTGTTTTCAGAGCAATGAAACATTTCGGGTGACTTGAATCCTTCCTGGGCTAGTGTTTTGCCAAGGAAAACAAACACTTGACAGTTCCTTTTCAGTTGAGAAAATATTTATGTTTCAGTTTTTGGGTTTCTTGCTTAGATCAAACATTCAGTTACTGGCACAAGGTTATTCTCTTTAACAGGTGCTTGCAGATAGGCCATGGTAGCAGCTCACACAGATGTTTATTTGATCCCAGAGACAGAGGCCTCTGTATCTGGCAGCTAAAAACTAAGTTATTTGATCTTTATTGTTCTAATATTATGACTTCTTTTCTATGAGTTTGCTGTTAGTTAGGTTTAAACCCTATTTTAACTCAAATTCCAGGCT